CAAAGATTAAGTGACAAGTCAAATAGGGCAAGGCGATATTTCTAAAAGTCAGCTGAAGTGGATAATCTATTGTATAGTAATATAAGTATCTTAACCAATAATTTATTGATTTAAATGAAAATAATTTAATATTTCTTAAGTAGGATGTTGAGGTAGAAACTTATTAATAGAAAAACAAATATTGAGAATTTTGTTAATAGATAAATAAGTATTAAATTTTTTTTTATAAGATAGACATGATTTAGTTTTGAATTAATAAAAATTTAATATGATTATTAAATACCAAGATATTAATACAAAAAATAGTGACATGTACCATTTTTTTTTTTTTTCTATTTCATTCTCTTACCCAACCCAAACCAACATGCGACCTAGTTCAATAAGGGGATGTTACTATGTTAGATTCATGAAAAAATATATATATTTTTTATAAACATGAAAATAAATTCAAAGCATACGATATAGGAGCCGATGAGAGATGAGGAAAAAATATTTTAACCAATTAAGCAAAGAAAAGGAAAAATTAGAGTGAACGGGAAGACATCTAATAATGGTACATATAAATATTTTTTTAAACAATTATAATTTTTTGGGGACTGAAAAGGAAGAATGACTAAAAATTCTCAAATTTTATTTGAATAAATGACAAATAATATTACTTTTATCTACTCTATAAGCCAGGTTATAATAATGATAAATATTAAATTTAACAAAATTAAAATTTATATTATATTTTATATATCTAATAATTATAATTAAATATCATATCATTTAAAATCTCAGCCTCCTTTAATCTTCCTTTTATCGTTTGAGTATGTCATTCACTTTCACTGTTTCCAAGCAAAACGAGCTCTTAACACTTAATAATTACAAGGGATGTTCTAATCTAGACACATATTAATTAAATGTCATTTACCATAATATTTATAATTAATTTTACATAAATTTGTATACAAAAATTAAATAAAATATAATACAATATATAATATTTTACTTTAAATCAATAAAAATTATAGTTCTAATATAAAAATTTATATAAAATCAATTAAAAATACCTTACTTAATGAGTCACATTGGTTAGACAAACCCTAATTACAATTATCAAAGTAGTGTTGTTTAGGAGTTAAACCAAATTTAACTACAATTTTAAACGTGATATTGTGTAGCCGTAATCATGCCCATCTAGAACCTGGCCGACGAAAGAAAAATAACATTTATTAGAAGCTTTTACGCCACTTATCCGGATTGTCGTTTTTTCTCCCTCCAAAATTTCCGAAAGTTCTCCACTAGGGTTAGGGTTTCGCTCGCTCTGATAGGATTTAAAAGTTCCATTGCTTTCCCTCGTTCCCTGTCCAGTGCTCCTGTTCCCGTGCCAGTGGCTTCGAATTGCAAGTGAATCAGAGATTTGCGGCAAATCAAATGGCGAGGTACAGAAGCAGGAGTCGGAGCAAGAGCTACAGCCCCCGTCGCCGTAGCAGGACTCCACCTCGTGGCCGCAAGCGGTACGATGATGACCCTCGTGATCGCTACCACGACGAGCGGTCCCGCAGGGACCGCCGCTCTCCTGCCCCGTCTGGCCTGCTCATTCGCAATCTTCCTCTTGATGCCAGGTCTCTTTTGTCCCTTTCAATAGTAATGGTAATCTTGCAATAGTTAAGCACTATCATCCTTCGCTGATAAAAAATGAAAGAAAAAATTGTTGAACTCGTTTTTGATAATGTTGTTTTTTGAATTATGTCATATAATGCATATTTCTATAGATCCTGTGCATATTTTTGTTGTTTGGAAGGAATACTTAAAGACTGATTTCTTTTGTTTTATGCAGGCCAGAGGATCTCAGGATTCCGTTTGAGCGTTTTGGTCAAGTGAAGGATGTATATCTGCCAAAAAATTACTATACTGGGTATGCTGTTTTGTTGTTATTTGCACCATGATTTTTGTTTTAGTTTTCTGTTTCCATTGTGTCATGTCATCAGCAAAATATGATATCAATTACTCTTTGATGCTTTTGTTTTTGTTCTGGATAATAACCTGTTGATTCTTTTATACTGGCAAATTATGATGTTCTTAATTGTTTTCAAGGATTCCATATGCTTTATATTTTAATAAAGTAACTTATCAAGTTATTTTACTGGCACCTTCATTGTATAATTTTTTAAAATTGCTTAATTTCTCCTTAGTTCCTTAGTCAATTATGCTGATGTTTTACTGTAAAGTAAATCATGTGTCTATGTCATAGCGTGATGTGTCCGCACATATGATTTGGCACAGTTAAGTTTAAGTGCTTTCCAAGTAAGATATTCAATTTAGAGCATATAGTTTTGTACATCATTTAAAATATGGTGGTGTTGTTGCATGATTTGCCATCGTCAATAGAGCTTAGTTGGGAATGTTGGTTTAGCTACATTATTCTGGAAAAGAAGAAGTTATGACTACATTATTAAGTCCTGCTGAGGAGTAAAATATGTTTGAAATTTGCAAATTGTGATGCTGAAGATCTGAATTTATGCCTCGAATAGAAGTGGAAAACTTATTGATATCTTGAGTAGCTTATATAGGGTATTTAGGCTTGCGTTTTTGCCTGATGATTTGTAGGGAGCCACGAGGCTTTGGTTTTGTGAAGTTTCGTTATGCTGAAGATGCAGCTGAAGCAAAACAAAAAATGAACCATCAAGTTATTGGTGGACGTGAGATAAGAATTGTTTTTGCTGAGGAGAATAGGAAAACTCCTCATGAAATGCGTTCGAGTTCCCGCGTGAGGTGTGGTAGTGTTTCCCTTATTTTGATGTATTGTTATTATGATTCTTTTATCTCCCCCTACTGTGGATTAAAAGAAGATATTGATTTGATCAACTGCTACTGACTCTTTCTTCCTTTCTCTGTAAAGTGGTCGATATGGAGGAAGCTACAGAAGAACTCCACCGAGGTCTCCAAGACGCCGATATCGCTGTCAGTTTATAAAATTTTCCTGTTCATTTCTCTAATTTTGTATGCTATATCTTGTTGACAATACACCTTTTTTTTTTTTTTTTTAAGAGGAGATCCTTGTCTATTTACATAATTATTATTTCTTTTTTAATCACAGCTTACTCGCGCTCACCATCGCCAACTAAGCATGATTCAAGGTTTGGGTTATATTTGTTATGATAATTTTCCTATTAATAGATTTTATATTTATATATATATATATTTGAAAAGTGATTTATCCCTCATTTGATTGAATCTATCATTGATGATACCATGATAATGATTTTGTAATGAATTCTTTGCATATCTTCTTTGTAAATAGTGAGTGCTTGTTTGCCAAAGCTGCAAAAATTAGTTGCTTGTTGCCATTTTTTTAATTTGGGGGGGGGGGGGGGGTGGGTTGCAGCTTGAGTTTTTATTGTTCTGTGATTGTTGTCTCCTGAACAGAATGCTATTTCTTCCAGTGGAGTAAGAAGTATGTACTGGTGACCTTGTTTATGCAGATAGTAAAGTGAAAGGGGAGACTTTAAAGACTTCTTGGTTAATAAGGCTTAAAGAGAAAAGTGATTATAAAGTGATGGGCATGATTATCTTTCTATCAAAGCTCCTCCGTTAGTGTTGTCAATAATCCCACCTTCACCAGCTATTGTCCACAAATTGCAAGGAGTCCTAATCTTTTACTCTTGGTTTGTGAGGCATGCTGCTTGAAAGAACTGGCAGGCTAAACTTCTTGTGGGATGAAAAGAGTCAGGGGGGTGGTACCTTTTGTTATTCATTTTATATCTGAACTCTTAAGAAATCAGTTGATAAGAAAATTTTAAGTTTAATATCTCTTTTTTTGCATATACCATCCAGTTAAGAAAGAACATAGAGCTTATATTTGGTCAAAGAAAGAATCATCTTCAAACAATGGAAGCCTGTCAAAGTTTTTACTGGTAGAGGTTTGTTTTGCATTGCCAAGAAAAAGATAATATGACATAGAAAGTTGGGGCAAAGAGAGCCATGAAGTCAGATGCTGATCAACCAGTACAACTTTAGAGAGCCTAACTCTCACAGTAGTTGGATCCAACTCTTATAATTTTGTTCAGAAACCTGAAAGTTGCAGGTAAAGGTTGATATTTTGTTTAATTGATTTGTATGAAAATGTGGGCAGAAAATTTTGCTGTCCTTGTGTTGGTTGTTTTATTTGCACAGGGTTCATGAAGTGGTTGACCTTTTAATCTAATGCATTGTATTTAATGTTCTTCTATGAGCTGACAATCTCATTGTATGTGTGATCTATGCCAAGCTAAAGTTTCTCATGTCTGTCTTCTTTTGCTACTTGGGACGGGTAGAGAAGTGAGAGATGATTATCGATCTCCAAGGCGATCTAGATCTGCTTCAAGGGATCGTGCTGTGAAAGATGATTATCGCTCTCCTAGACGTTCTCGATCTGTTTCCAGGTCCTATTCTCCACATGATGGGAGGGAATATAGGTCGAACTATAGGTCACCAAGTCCAAGGGGTAATGGTCGGGGTCCCCATGATGAGATGGACCATGCACTGAGCAGGTCACGGGGCCTCAAGGGTGAGAGTCGTAGTCCTTCAAGGTCTCGTTCACGATCCTTCAGGTGGAAGATTATTCTTTTTCTTGCAATCATCTAGCGTCTGTTAGTTTACAATTGTGGAAATAATAATTTACATGCATTTCTCCTTGCAGTCCTCGCTAATGGATATAGGAGTCCCGGCTCTGTCTTCTGATGCTGCTCGTATGGTTTTTCTGGAAAATGTAATTGGGCATAATTTATGGTAAGGAATGTGTTCAGGATTCTACTTAGGTTTGAGTATATTAGCAGCGTATGAATACTGTGATGGATTTTCAAACGTTGACATCAGTTATCTTAATGGATGCTTTTCAATTTCGTAAACTATTTCTGGCAGTGATTGATCAAATTTGCCTGGCTGGCTATTTGATTTTTGCTCTCGCCTGTGAATAATTCAAATCCTTTTCTCAAGCAAGTCCATCCATACTCCTCAATTTTCTTGATTAGCTGGATTATATGCCACTAGTAATCGTAGTTATTACTACTAATCATCTTATGGTTCTGGTTAACCACCTACTCCCTCCATTTCAGTGTTTCAAAATTTATCTTAAACTAATTATTGTTTTTTATTTTTTATTTTAACTTTAATCTTATTTTTATCCCTTAGTTTTAATTATTTATCTTATGATAAAATTATTTATTTATTTGTTTCTTTTTTAAAAGGTAGGATAAGGAAAAATATAAATTGTCAAAATCAAAAAAGGGGACAAAGGAAGGAATGAATCATGCCCTTAAAATAAATTAGCAGGGGAATTGTTTTTGGGTGAATAGATTGTTGCCCTTACTCACGGGTGAAAATAAGCAAAAGAGATTAAACATGAGAATAAATTTTTCTAAAAAAACAGGTAGCTACATACAAAAAATATGACAGGGTTACATGAAGGTTTTAATACTGAAAAAATGAGTTCGTACAGCGTGACAGTGTAAATGACACTCGATTATGGTCGAAGACAATACTATTGATTTTAGTTTTGAACCATTTTTAAGAACAATCTTAACAAATACAGGAGGTAGACAATTAAGTCATACCGCAAAAAAGTACAATCAGATTGTGCGCAACAGTATTAGCTCATGGCAAATTGAACCAACTTATTTGAAGCATGGCATAACAAATATGGTTTGTGAATCACTTGAAGGGGCAGGATTTCTCGAATGCCTCCTGCTCTTTGCGACATAAATCAAACTCATTTGTATGGTAATACATACAGCCAACATACTCATCCATCTCTTTTGTGCACCTCTGGTGAAGATCTTTTAGCCTGCAGAACCATACGTCTTGTAATTAAATAATGCAACAGGGTTAATAGAACTTGGATATCCAACAGCGGGCTTTGGATAATGGTATAAAGAAATCTTATACATGATTAATCTGGAAGTTAAACAAGTTTCTGCACATAAACACAGTAAGTGAAAAACTAATGACACAGATGATGCATGGATTGGGGGACAAAAAAAAAAGAGACAATGAATGAGAATGAAAAATGCAGTGTTTGTGATGTAATATCTAAGGTTTATAAGAAAAAGGAAACTAGGAGAAGTTAAATTACTGTCTATAGGTTGGCAATGGAAACTAAGAGGGAAAAATAAGTGACAAGTACAACTTTAATTACTAAATTCATCAAGGAGGAAACTAATTACTCTTGCTAGTAGCTTAAATTAGTGGAAGAGAGATTTCATATGGGGATGACTAGAGTTCTAGAGGTGTCTTTCAATGACGAAGTTGATTAGAGGTGCCTAATCCACTCTGCATGTTCTCTCCAAAAAACCAAAGAATAGTGATCTCAAATTCAATAGCAGTGCAACATTAACTAGCACATTCAATGTAACATAACACTGCCATGAAATTGATCTCCGTTGCCTTGGAACTTCTCAAAGATTCAGGAGAAAGGAGTGCCAATTTAAGAAACTCTCATGGATCAAAGCTATCACTATGTCAAATCTGTTAACATTTATCTTCACTCACCTCTGCAATAGCACTAAGGATGTCAAATGGGTTACTTTATTCCTCAACTGGAGAGGTGAACTTAATGAGAAAAGATATCAAAGATCAAAACACCATATTGTTAGAGGATTATTACGAAATTCTGAGCAACTATTAAATGAGACTAAGTTTACCCTCAACCAACATATCATAATCAACTGTCATTGAATCCCACTCCACTCCACTGAATTCCACTCCTTATCACTGGCTTGTCGTGATGATCTAAGCAGCCAGCTACAAAGCACTCCCCAGGGTCAAAACACTATGCTGAGACAATGCTCAGCTGCTTATCTCCAACAGATGGCTAAAAGCTAAACTAAAATTGCTCAGATGGGTCATCATCTAAAACTCACTCCAATTTAACATCTCACTTTCTTTGAAAGTTCAGATACACCCTGAACTCAGAATCGAAATTCATAGCTAATCATCTTAAATCTCTATAAATCATTGAGAAAAAGCAGACAATAAAAAAATTCTCTTTCAATTTCTTCACAATTCAAGTACTTTATCGGTAGTTGATGTCACTAAACTAGTTAATCCTGCTTTCTTTTCAGTTCCAAAACCATCTCATCATCCACACAGAACACAGAAGAAATCAGAAAATCACAATGAATCAGCAGAGAACAAGAAACGGAAACTAATAATACTAGACTTACAAACCAAGAACGCAGCGAGTGACTTCCTTGCCCTTATCGAGGCATTTCTCCGGATTCGGATCCTTCTTCTTGCACTTTAGAAACTCCACATTCTCTGGCATGCATCTAATCCCTATGTTCTTCGCCGACGCCGTCAACACGGTCGATGTCGGGATCGGATTTCCCACAGCGTCCACTGCGCTCGCCATCTCAATCGCTCACCTTTGTCTAATAGAAAAAGTCCAGAAAAATCTGAAAAATCTCAATAAATCCGCTGGCATTTCGTTTGATTACTGAGAAAAATAAAGGAAAACAAATCTCAAGTCAAAGAATTTATCCGAGACAGATTGTTAGCAAATTCCAGTTTGAGTCCAACAATTTTCCCGGCAACCAAACGGATAATTTCACTAAACACAAATAAATTAAGGGAAAAAAAATCATTCGTATCAATTTAACTTTCTGCAATTAGATTTTCAGCTGAGAAATCAGCAAACCAGAGAGAGAGAGAAAAAAAAAAACAGAGCTTAGAAAATGAACAAAGAATTGGGTAACCGTAAAGCAATGCCTGCAGATTTTGCGAGAAAATGTTAAGGGTATTTACGTCATTTCCGAAATAAGAATTGGGGTTTATCCCCTTTTATGTCATTTTGTCAAAAACCCTAATTTAATTTCTTCTCAAAATCTCTAAGAAGCAGCTGACTGCTGAGAGAATTCGAAACCGTAAGTTGAAAACAATACGTACTTTCTTTTCTCAGAAATTCAATGTTTCTGCTGGTTTGATTGTTTTTTTTGTTTGTTTCTTGTAGGGATCAAGGAATGGGTGACAAGAAGAAGAAGACTTTCATGTTCATTCGTTTGGTCTCGGCTGCTGGGACTGGATTCTTCTATGTTAAGAGGAAGAGTGCTAAGAAAGTTGCAGAGAAACTTGAGTTCCGGAAATATGATCCTCGGGTAAATCGTCATGTTCTGTTTACAGAACAGAAGATGAAATAGAAAACCCATCTCTTCATTTTTTTTTTTTTGCCCCTTTTTATTTATTTTGGTATGGAACTTTGAATTATGTACTGTTGGCAAAATTTTCTGAATGCATTTTCTTGCTGCTTTGATTGTTACACCTCTTTGCATTTTTCCCAAATAAGGATGGAAATCACTGATCTTTTCAATCCTCATCTAAGTGTGGGTTGTGGTATTTCCATGATGTGAAGCAATGTTTGAACTTTTATTAGAGTTGATTCAGATAATGTTGCTTGCTATAATTCAGATTGCGAACTGGTCAATTCTATGGTATTTTGATCCTTGATTCATCGACTTATTGGGGTGGAGCATGCATGTTTATTTACATTATGTGTTACTTCTTCAATCAGAAAATCATTCCTCTGTATGCTCATGTTTGTGATGGTTACATGTTCAGTCCCGGTACAAGTTTCTTCTTAGACACACGCATTTGGGTGTGGCATTTGGTGGTGGTGGAGAGGTGTTGAGAAATTACAATGAGAGATAAGTGTTAAGTCCAAAGATGTTGGGTGTTTGATTTTCCTCCACTAGTGATAGTGGCACAGCGAAATGTCAAGCTCAACCCATACAGCTGTCTGGAAGTAGAACCATTTTTTTGCAATGCCACATAGGTTTCTATCATGACCTAAATTATACTTCTCCATTATACACATTTTTTTCTTGATTAAGGTTACCTTATTGCTTGATTGGTTGTAGTATTTAACTTTTATGCTGCTGGGTTTCAGAATCAAAGTCCTTACTCCTCTTTAGTCATCTTAATTTTCTTTTTACCCATTAGCATATTTAATTCATATAGGAGTTTTAGGTTGAAGATGTCCAAGTTTAATTCCATGGTTGGCAAATTCGGGTCTGGTTTGGTTGGTTCACATCAAGCTCTGTTTGATTCAAGGGTAGAGAAGGTGGGAATGTGGGATACGAAAGTTGATTCAATAATTCATTAGGTGAATGGCAGAAGTTAATAATTCCTAGTCAAAATGCCTCACTTTTATCTCATTCCTAAACCCTATGTGATAGCAAAAGTCAACTTCCTTTTGCCTCAGCAACTTTGGCAGGAGGAGGAATTTCATGGAGCAGATAGGTCTCTTTTCTCCTGGATATTAAATAATCTTATGTTAAATGTATGACATAAGTCATTTTTTATGTTCCTTAGATATAAGGCGTTTATGCTTCTCCCTGATATTCTGTTGCCTAAATCTATATCTTTCTCATGCCACACGTCAACAAGGATAATCCTTTCCTTTCTCAAATCAGTTGCAACTAGTTTCAACATTTGAATTCGAAATCCTTTAATTGTGACACCGCCTGCTGGGTATTTAGATTTTAGACACATGAAAATGATAAGAACTAAGATAATTAATTTTTTTGAAGTCAAGAAATAAATGGAGATGTAACCTGAAAATGACATGCGAAGTTACCTAGGTTGCATCGATTGCTCAAGGCAATCTTCTGGTAAGGAGGAAAGCTCAGGACTTTAGGTCTTTAACGGCACCTTTTTCGGTTCAAGGGATATAGGCAATGTGTATTTGATCAAACAGGGACAGCTATTGTATAATTGGTCTGTTTGTTTCTTGTGAACAGTTGTACATCAACCAATGTGATTTGTGATCTCTATTTCAGTTGTGAATTCCAAAATGTCTAATAATTATCAATAGATTTATTATAAAATGATTAACTTGCAATATTTTTTGTTTTTTATGATGAAATTTAACTATTTTAAATCATACCAAACAATTTAAGTAATTAAGGGATAATTATTTTAATAAAAGTAAAAAAATTTGAGTTTAAATTATATGACATGAGAGTAAAATAAGTTAAAAAATAAAAGATAATTACTTTTTGTTATAAAATCCAAAGTAAAAAAATTGTCTTCAAATGGTATTAATAGTGATTTTTTTTTTCCACTTAACGAGATATATGAATTAATGTCCATCCTCAACATTTAACGCTATGATTGTTGTAATATTTGGTAAAAGCATTGTATGCATCAACTCTTATTTAGTCATTTTTATAATTTACCTAGAATGTTTAATACACTTCCAAATTAAGTTATAACTCACTTTTCCATTTTTATATATTTCTATTTAATGAGGCATTATTGAAAAGTGGGAAAAGGAAGAAAAAGAATCTTCCCTTTATATATATACCCTCTTGTCTCCTGTTTTATTTTTTTATTTTGAAACGAACATATACACCATCGTCTTAAGCATTTAACAACCAAATTAAGACAAAAATGTCACATTTATTAAAGGAAGGCAATCCAAATACTTGTAAAATTGTTCAAATCTTCATGTTGATTTATTAAGAGTATTGAATTTTTTTTTATTATCATTTTTGATATTTAATTATCAAAACATCTTATTTTTTGTAATTCTAAAAACATAAAAATAAAAAATGCTTAAAAAAAAAAAACTAACACTAGTGAAATTTGTATTAAAGGAATGATTGTCGTTGCATATTAATTAATGCATCTCATCAAGTAAAATGAGTCAATTATTCAAGCACTTATTTGATATAACTATTACATTATACAATATACATAATATTACTATAAGAAAAAACATTATGATATACTAAACCATTTAGGAAAACAAAATGTTTTTATTTTGATTCATACAAAATGCATGTACGGAAGATAG